GAACTACAAAGTCTGCTATTCAAACTCACCAGCTACTTCTCAGAAACTCTGTACAGGATCACTATGAGGCTGAACAGACTTGATGGCACTTAACACCAACAACAGAGAGTCCGAGAGGCCTTGCTTTTTAGCTACTTTCTGTTAGCTATTCTTATTTAACCAGACAACTTTGATATTACACATTCAATCTCATGAAGTGGCAGCAATTTGTTTCAGCTCATGGTTTTCAATGATCGGGGCTTCTGTTTTTCTACTGTCGAACCAAGCATATACTCAAGCTTACCCATGGTGTGGTTAGAGAGCAATTGAGACTCTAGAACCTATATTTCTATGTGTCAACATGGAAAAGAGTTTATTCTAAGGGTATTATTTTATCTGCACTTTTGGAATCAGTTATAGCAATAATACTGTTACAGCCAGAACTGTGTCCCCCAAAATATGTGTTGTAAATCCTAATCTTTATATCTATGGATGCAAACCCATTGGGGAATACGGTTTTCTTTGTTGTGAAGCCATATTAGTGTGGGGTTATTTTAAGCCAATCATTTTTTAGATACTTACGAAGTAGATTAGATACAGAAACAAGCAAGAATGGAAGGGAGAAAGATAGGTGTCATGTGGAGATCCCCAAGTAATATTGAAAAGAACCCTCGAGAAGCTAAGACAAGGATTTCCCCGTAAAGCGGACAGAGAGAGCTGGAGCTCTGATTGCAGCCTTCTAGCCCCCTAAACTGTGAGAAAGTCAATTTCTGCTGAGTAATATGGTATTTCTGTCATAGCAACACTGAGAAACATAGACAAACACTTAATAAACGACTGAGAGAAATGTTTGCAATGTAAAACTAAATGATTAAATAAAATGGATATAGAATTATATATGCAAAGTGACCCACATTTCTCAGAAACAAGGTGCATAAAATTGAGACTGTAAGTATATATAGTCTGAGTGGTAGAATGTACATGGTTTCTTTTTTTTTTCTTGCTTTCTAAAATTTGTTTGTACATATAATACATAAAAATTTTTATTGTAAAAGATTAAAACTTTCATCTTATCTCTTTCCCTACTCCAAGCATACACTTTCATTCCCTTTCTGAGGGGTAATCATAATTATTATTAAACATTTGATGTGTATTCTCCAAGTCATTTTATACACTTGTGCCCACATACATACACAGCTCTCTCTCTCTTTTAACATACATAGGACCATATGATATTCAGTATTTTAAACTTGATTTTTTTGTAACTTAACAAAGTATCTGTGAACTCTATCCATGTGTCTACCTCATGGTTTTGAACAATTCTATTGCATGGCATAATTGAGGGGAAGGAAACTAATATTCTCCTACAGAGGGATATTCAGGTTGTTTCCAATTTTCTGTTATTAGAAACAATTCTGCTAAGAACATTCAGGAACATTGATCTTAATGAACACATTCGAGTATTATTTTAAGAGAATTTCCTGGAAGCTTTCCTAACATTTCTACTGAAAACATGTATTATTTTATCATTAAGGAAGGCACATAAACTTTTTTTTTTCTTTTTTAATGAATATGGTAAGTCAGTAAACTAATGTCCATTCTATGAAAGTATATTAAGGCTTAGGGTCACTATGAGTGGGTACCAACTCCACAGAACTTAACAACAACATCATATACCAGATACACAGTAGGTACTTATTATCCATGGAATAAGCAGAGTGTCCCATACATAATAGAATCTATGTAAGGAAATTATCATTATTCCCAATTTACATATGAGAAACCCGAGGTATCTCAGAGCTCAGGTCTGAGTTCTGACTTTGTATCTCAATAAAAACCTCAACATAACAAATATTACGTATTGGTCAGTAATGAAAATAACTGGTAAGTTATGACAATGTGTCTTTTTCAATAAGATTGGGAGCAGGAAGTTAGTTCTTCATAATTTTTATATCTCAGCATCTAAACTAATGTCTAACCAGTTGCCATCAAGTTGACTTTGACTCCTGACAACCCCATGTATGTCAGAGTAAAATGGTGCTCCATAGTGTTGTCAAAGTTAGATCACCAGGCCTTATCTTCCAAGGTGCCTCTAGGTGGACTCAAACCTCCAAACTTTGGGTTAGCAGCTGACAGCATTAGCCATATGTGCTGCCCAAGGACTCCTCACTAATGAATGACCAGACCAGACCCATTGCCATCAAGTTGATTACTGACTCACAGAAAACCTCTAGGTTTTCTGCTCCACAGGGTTTTCTGGACAGTATGGCACTGTAGGATAAAGCACTGGGCCTCAAGGTTGGTTTGAACCACAAGGTTGGTGGTTCAAACTCCACAACCGCTCCTTGGAAACCCTAATCAGGGTCACTAAGAGTCTGAACCGACTTGATGGCACTTAACAACAAAAGCAACAATCTTTATGAAAATAGATAGCCTTATTTTTCTCCCAGAGTGGCTGGTGGGTTAGAAATGCAGACCAATTAGCACTTAACCACTGTGCTATCAGAGCTCCTTCATAATGCCTCACACCTAGTAAACTATCAAATAAATATTTGTACTTCTTTGCAAAATAACACTCACTCTTATTTTCTCTGCTAGTAAGCTCATTCTCATAAAGGTTTAGCATTGTACGATAAGCACTGGACTACTAATCACAAAGTTGGTGGCTCAAACCCACCAATGGCTCCTTGGAAACCCTACTTAGAGTATCTGAGTCAAAACCAGCTCAATGGCACTTAGCAGCAACAGCAACTTATAAGAAAAGGGATAAAACAGACCCACTGAGGATGACAGGGCAGAAAGATGCAAGGAATTGGGTCCTTGATGATAGTGTTGAATTGCTAAATTAACCCTGAACACGTCTTACCTCTAGGAGTGTTATATAACAGTTTGTTATATAAGACAAAAGTGTCCTTATTATAATTAAAGCCAGGTGAACTTACGGGTTTGTATTGTGGGGCAGGAAGTGAGGGAGTGAAAGCTGTTTTTGGTTTTTTAGAGCTAGAAACACGCTGAAACCAACTTGAATTTTTGGCAGTTCCGTGTCAATATGCTGCTGTTAATGGTTTTTGAATTGTCTCCAGCAAAATTCTACTTGGGTGTGGTATTAAAGACATTGTTCGATAAGGTCCACATTCTGTTGCATCACCTTTCTTTGGAATGGACACAGATATGAATCTTTTCCAGTTGGTTGGCTAGGTAGCTGTCTTCCAAACTTCTTGGCAGAGACAAGTGAGTGCTTTCAGCATTGCATCAATTTGTTGGAAAACGACAATTTCTATTCCATCAATTCCTGGAGCTTTGTTTTTCGACATTGCCTTCAATGCATCTTGGACTTCATCCTTCAATACCAAAAAATTTTAATCATATGCTAGCTACCACCTGAAATTGAATATTCACCAATTCATTTGAACTGATTGAACTTCCACCAATTCTTTTTTGGTACAGTGACTCTTTATATTCCTTCCATCTTCTTTTGATGTTTCCTGCATTGTTTAATATTTTTTTTCCATTATTGTTGTTGTTGTTAGGTGCCATGATGTCGGTACCAACTCATAATAGCTACCTTATGCACAACAGAACAAAACACTGCCCAATCCTGCACCAACCTCACAATCGTTGGCTACTTTTGAGTTAATTGCTGCTGCCATTGTGGTTAGAGGTCTTCCTCTTTTTTGCCGATCCTCCACTTTACCAAATATGATAACCTTTTCCAGGGACTGGTCTCTCCTGATAATATATCTGAAGTATGAGAGACAAAGTCTGCCCATTCTGGCTTCCAAGCCACATTCTGGCTGTACTTCTTCTAACACAGATTGATTTGTTCTTTTGGCAGTCCATAGTACTTTTAATATTCTCCTCCAACACCACAACTCAAATGCATCAATTCTTCTATGGCCTTCCTTATTCATTGTTCAACGCTCACGTGGATATGATGTTATTGAAAATACCATGGCTTGGGTCAGGTGCACCTTAGTCCTCATCAAACTGACATCTTTGCTCTTGAACACTTACAGGAGGTCTTGTGCAGCAGATTTGCCTAATGCAATAAATCATTTGATTTCCTGACTGCTGCTTTCATGAATGTTGATGGTTATCCAAGTAAAATGAAGTCTTAGAAACTTCAATCTTTTCTCCATGTATGTGGATATTATTTATTGACCCAGTGGTGAGGTGCAACCCATACCGAAGGCTGTGGTCTTTGATCCTCATCAGTATTTTATGTCCTCTTTACTTTCAGCAATTAAGGCTGTATTATCTTCATATCACAGGTTGTTAATGAGTCTTCCTCCACTCCTGATGCCACATTTTCTTTATATAACCAGCTTCTCAGGATTGTTTGCTCAGTATACAGATTGAATAAATATGGTGGAAGAATGCAACCCTGGTGTGTACGCTTCCTAATTTTAAACCTTTTGGTGTTCCCTTGTACTATTTGAACAACTGCCTCTTGGTGTATGTACAGGTTCCTCAGGAGCACAATTAAGTGTTCCATGGAATCCTTCAATATAGTAAAGTAAGGCTTGAATTTCTCTTCAATTCTTTCAGCTTAAGAAATGCTGAGGTGTTCCTCCTTTTAATTTACTAACTCTGAATCTTTGCCCATTTCATTATAAAACTCTCTTCTCGAGCTATCCTTTGGAATTTTCTGTTCAGCTCCTTTTACTTTAGAATTTATTTCATTTACTTTAGCTTCTCTATGCTGAAGAACAAGTTTCAGAGTCTCTGCTGACATCCACTTTGGCCTTTTCTTTCCATCTGACTTTTTAATGATCTTTTGATTTCATGTCTGATGCTTTTAATGTCATCCCACAATTTGTCTAGTTTTCTGTCCTTATGTGTTATATCTGTTCCGTCTCTAGATTCGGTGATTTAGGTAGATACTGTCATGATCTCATTTTGTGAATGAATGAAGGGTTTATCACCTGGCTAAGGCCTTTCATGCCCTTTTTCATGTATCTGCGGACACAGTGGCTGTATATATAGGCCGAAGCGTCGGTCAGGAGCCAGACGTGAGTTACTGTCAGGCAGAGCTAGAGTCAGTCCCCAGGGTCGTGACACTGGCGATGCCTGCCGCTCCCCAGCGCCCTCCGGAGCCCGGGGTGCGTGTCGCCAGTCGGGTCCGCGCGAGCTCAGAGCTTTAAGGCGCGGCGCTGCCGGAAGCCGCTCTGGTGGCCCGGCAGTCTGTACAAGCGTTGCCCAAGCCGAAGGGTCAGGGCCCCGCTCAAGGCTGAGAAAGCCAGGCTCACTCCGCCCGGGCCCTGCTCGCTTCTGAGCCTGGGGTGTCGCCGGCCGCCTCTGCAGACTCGGCGCAGCCCGGCCTCTCCCTGCGCCCTGCGCCCCGGCGCCCGCTGCGGCCCAGTCTTCGTTCGGCGCGCTCCGTTCCCGCCGGGACCAGGTAACTCCCCACGCCGGGCCTGGAGCGCAGGCCTGGGCAAGCCCCACTGCCTGGGAGGTGCGGGGGGCTGGCGACAGCCAGGCAAATGCGAACACTCTAAAGTAGTTTCCGGTTTTTGTGGGGTATTTTTGTTTTTGTTTTTTTAAAGTGTGAGTGAGAGAGCGCCCTCATGGCGCAGGGTAAGCACTGGACTGTTTACCGAAGGGTGTGCAGTTGGAAACCAGAAGCCGCGTTCTGAGAGAAGGTGTGGCCGTTTGCTTCCGCCAGGCTGAGAACCTGGGAAACCACAGGAGCAGTTCAGCTTGGTCCTGGGGCATCGTTCTGACGCAGGGTCCACGGGGACACTGTGGGGGGTTTTTGTTTTTGTTTTTGGCGGGGCGGGTGTTAGCCACCCAAAAAACAGAACTGCACGCAAGCAGCTGCCCAGACCTTAGGTTTTAACTTACATTTCGGGTGAGAGAATGCAAACTAAAAATTCAGAGGTGTTTAAGGAATAGGAGCATTCTGTCTGAAAGGGGGAAGCTACAGTGGTCTGGGTGTAAATTAAAAAGAATCTTTCACAGAAAATGTATTGGTTAGTACCCCACCCCACCGGCTGTCAATATACAAACACACGTACATTGGGTCGACTCAGAAGGAATTAGCAGAAAGAAATTGTGTGTCAGAGGTAAAGTGAGTTTAAAGTTAGTCATCGGAAACCAACTAAACTTGGCATTTGAAGATCTCAGCATAGGAAGGTACCTCAAAAACAATAACAACAACATAAACACAACTAAACCTATTATAGTGAAGTCCCCGCTTACTTAGGGAGTATCTGATATTCTCCACTTTAAACACACACATCCACCCTCAAATTTGCACATGGTCCAGGATGAATGGTTTATTCACAAAGAGTTTAAACTCCAGTTATAGTTAATAAAACAAGTAACTTTATTAAATCAATGGAATCTATAAATAGTATTTTACTAATACCCTTTGCAAGCCAAGAAATTCATCAGAATCAGTAGCATTATTAGTATAATCTCCATCATGCACTCCATCTCCAGGTGCTTGGGGAGCATGCGTTCCATGCACTGCTGCTGAAGAAGGGTAGGCCTTCGACTAGGAGTAAGTTTAGGAAGTGGAGGGGAGGAAGGGCATCTTGGGTGGAGGACTTCAACTGAAATCAGAATTATCTAGTCTACCAGGTCTCTAAAGGACCACAACAATGGACCATGCACAATCACCATGCATCAGAGCTGACTCAGTGGCAACTAACAACAGCAGTTGGTGCATATGGGACTGGATGGATACAGTGAGACAGAAGGAGGACTTTGAACCTGAATGCCACAGGCAATAGGGCACCAGTGGGAAATTGGCTGAAGGAAGGAGACATTTAGGAATATCCACAGAGAACCAGTACTGTTATTGTTGTTGTTGTGTGCTGTGGAGTCGGTTCCTACTCACAGCCACCCTTCATAGGGTTTCTGAGGCTGTAAATCTTTACAGGAGCAGAAAGCCTTATCTTTCTCCTACGGAACAGCTGGTAGTTTCAAACTGCTGTCCCAGAGGATAGCAGCCCGATTCGTAACCACTACGCTACCAGGGCTCCAGTATTGTTTTGTTGTTGTTGTTATTGTTAAGTGCCGTCGAGTCGGTTCCGACCCATAGCGACCCTGTATAGGGTTTCCAAGGAGTGACTGGTGAGCTTGAACCACCAAACTTGCAGTTCAAACGGCTTTGCAGTCTGGTGCATTAACCCACAGCACCACACCAGTAAAATCATGGAGGATCTATTATTATCTGAGATCTTCAAACTCCAGAAATTAATAATTTGGAAGAAAAACAAAAATCAAATATTGAATAGGGTAAACACTGGACTGTTAACCGAAAGGTTGGCAATTCAAGCCCATTAGCAGTTCTGTAGCAGAAAGATGAAACTTTCTGCTCCTGTAAAGATTTCCAGCCTTGGAAACCCTGCATAGGGCTGCTGTGAGTTGGAAATGACTTGGTGTCAACGGTGTTTGTTGCATTTTTTGTTTGTCTTTTACTAGAGGTAAGGTTGTGGGGCGTTCAATTAAAAAAAAAAAAAAATTCCTTGGTTGTGTATGCAAAAGTATATATATAGTACTTAGTATGTGCCAAGCATGTTCTAAGTACTTCATACAAATTAATTCATTTCTCACAGCAAATTCACAAAAGTTATCACCATTTTACAGATGTGGAGACTGAGCACAGATAATTAAGTAGGTCTGGGCTGAGATGGAGGGACATTATCAAGCTTTGTGGTTTAAAATCAGAAATTCTGAGTTCCAGTGCCTCCACTCCATGGTTATGTGAATTTAGTTTATATGAGTCTCGATTTTCTTATCACAAGATCGGCAGTTCAAACCCACCATCTGCTCCTTGGAAATGCTATACAGGGTCACTATAAGTTGAAACTGACTTGACAGCACTTAACAACAACAGTAGAGTCTCTTGGTAGCATTTTGGCTCAGAGGATAATCACCAGACTGCTAACCACAAGCTCTGCAGTTCGAGCCCACCAACCATTCCATGGGAGAAATTTGAGGTTTTCTGCTCCCACAGAGATTTACAGTCTCAGAAATTTTGTACATGGTCACTATGAGTCAGAACCTACTTCAGGACGCCTAATAATAAGAACAAAAGTCCCTGAGTGGTACAAACACTTAGCATGCTCAGTTATTAACTGGAAAGTTGGGAATTCAAATCCATCCAGAGGTACCTTAAAAGAAAGGCTTGGTGATCTACTTCTGAAAAATCAGTCACTGAAAACACAGTTCCACTTTGACACACATGGGGTTGCCATGAGTTGGAACTGACTCCATGACAATTGGTTTTTACATTGCCTAAGGACTCCTGCTGAGGCGCTGTAGGATAAGCACTGGATCGTTAACCACAAGGTCAGTAGTTCAAACCTACCAGCGGTTCCTTGGAAGCCCTATACAGAGCTTAACCCATAGCGCCACACTAGAAGTCCATACGGGGTTGCTGTGAGTCAGAACTGACTCAAAGACACTTAACACAACAAATACTAAATGCTTAATAAAATGTAGATTGTTGTTGTTGTTAAGTGTCATTGAGTCAGTTCCTACCCATAGCGACTCTGTATAGGGTTTCCGAGAAGCACCTGGTGAACCTACACTGCCGACCTTGTGGTTCAAACTGACTTTGCCATTCAGCTCATTAACCCACAGTGCCACACCAGGACTATTATTTTTCTAATTCTTCTTCCTCTTCCTTAATGTGTCATTTCTCCTCAGAGATAGCCTTTCAGAGCCCACCATGTGTGGGGGACTAATAGAGAAGTATGTGGCTGCCATGGTGCTCAGTGCAGCTGGAGATGCCCTGGGGTACTGCAAAGGAAACTGGGAGTTCCTCCGGGATGGGGAGAAGATTCACCAGCAGTTGGCCCAGCTTGGTGGCTTGGACGCCATAGACGTGGAGACATGGAGGGTCAGTGATGACACAGTGATGCACCTGGCCACAGCAGAAGCCCTCATAGAAGCTGAGAAAGTTGAGGACTTGGCCCAACTGTATTCCTTCCTTGCTAAGCATTACCAAGACTGCGTGGAAGACATGGACGGCCGAGCACCAGGTAAGCTCAACCAGTGAAGGTCTTGGGAGGATAGAGAAAAAAACAGAACCAAAGGCATCCTTGTCCTGGTGTGGCACTGCAGGTTAATATGCTGGGAGTTGGTTCCGATGCATAGCGACCCTAGTAGAGGATTTCTGAGGAACAAGTGGTGAGTTTGAACTGCTGACCTTGGGTTCGAAGTGCAGTGTTGTTCCTATTGTTGTTGTTAGGTGTGATCGAGTTGATTCCGACTCATAGCTACCCTGTGCACAATAGAACTAAACACTGCCCATTCCTGGGCCAACCTCACAATTGCTGCCATGCTTGAGCCCATTGATTCTGCCACTTTGCCAATCCATCTCGCTGGGAGTCTTCCTCTTTTTCTCTGACCCTCCACCTTACT